ATAAAAAAGACAACAAAACCTGATGGGGTTCTAATCCTTCTCCACCCTATCCAAATCTAAAAAAAAAATGGTTTGGGCTTTAGTTCTACTGTAACTGCTTCCCGTCCGGCCATTGTAAATACACGGCTGGACGGGAGCTTCTTGAATGTGAGTGAACGTTTTAAAAAGTTCTTGTGCCTGCGGCGCTCGTGCTACAGAAGATGGAGAAGCAGGTTTCTGCTTCATCAGCTTCTTCTTTGGTGGTCTCTAGGTGACATTAGGGGTCTTAAAGACCCCCTAATGTCTCCATAAAGAGGACCTGTCACTGGACATTTGATATCGCATAGGGGGCTTGTTATCCCCCTATGTGACAACAATAAAGTTAAGTGTAAAAAAAAAGTTTGAAAAATGTAAGTTACAAAAAAATTAGTCACATTGGCCCATTACGCAACACATGTTACATATCACCGTGAACGTTAGAGTGAGAGCAATAATTCTCAGGCCATCAATCACTGATAACACTAAACTGGTGAGCGGTAAAAGCTTTTAAATTGTTGCCTATGGCCAATTTTGACTATGGTAGTTTTTTGCAGTTTCACAGGGCCACACAATTATAAAGCTTGACATGTTTGGTGTCTATTTAACCGACTTGACCACCGATCTTTTTTTTTTAACCAAAATATTGGGTAATCATAAATATTTCCTAACATAATGTAAGAAAAACTTTTTTTTTCAACATTTTCAGTACTTTTTTCTTTATATAGTAAAAAATAAAAACCCCAGTGGTGATTAAATACCACCAAAAGAAAGCTCTATCTGTCCACAAAAAAATTATATAAAATTATTTTCACTACAGCATTGCATAACTGGAAAATTGTCAGTCAAAGTACTGCAGCGCTGAGCCCTGAAAAATTGCCTGGCCATGAAGGGGGTTTAACACTCCAGTCTTCAAATGGTTAAGAGAAGCATTGCATATCATATTTATTTTTTGACTTCATCCTTCATCTACTCATCATAGCTTTTCAAATGCAAATTTGCAACTGTTACACAATTTACAGTGTGACTGGAGGAAAGAAGATACTGCTGTCAAGGGTTGTTTTTCTCTTAGACTGTTGTTTTTCAGTGGCAGCTGTATATGGTTATGATGGATATTCCTAAAAGTCACAAGACTGTTTTCTGTGGACAATGTATAATATTCATATTTGTATAATCAGAAGCCACCACAATGCTAAACAGCAGCAGTAATCAATCACATTCTTTCTTCTTCAGCACTTCTCAATAAACACATGGTGCACATGGCTCAGATTGAGTTGCAAAGCAACAACGGAACTACAGTAAAAGAAGAATGGAAAGGAATGCTTGTAGTAGATTTAAAAAAAATCAAAAATCAAAACTGACTTTGAGATTTAAAAAAAAGAAAGGGAAAGAGCATCCCAGGAACACAGGCATTAGCACTGTTTGCCTTATGTAAAACTGGTCTGACTGATTAGAATTAATTGTAACATTGTGCTGTTTTTATGTGTTGTTTTTGTAAACTAGAGTTTCTGATAACATGGCTTTGCAATTATCAAAGTAATCTGAATTTATAAAGGTTTGTTTTAAAGGTCTGGACGTGCATGGAATATTATGGAAATGGCATCCTAGCCTCGCTATAATACAGATAAAAAGGAAATAAATCCCGAGAATGTTGGCAAATTGATTTGATGTATGCCTGTGGACAGTCACCAGAAGCTTCTCCTGACTCTCAATTATCATAAAGCAGGAAAACAATTTTGTTTGGTTTTCTGTTTTAGGGTGTCATCAACTTTGCATGATATTGGCCCTCACAAACCTAATACAAATCCTTAATAGATTTAAATGAGAGTTCTGAACCAATGAGCATGGCAATGTTTGTCAAAGCCAAAACACAATCAAATAAATGCATAACCAAGCAAGATGTATTTTGACAATGACAGAGTTTTAATATTGCTTGCCTTTGGTAAATCTGGCCCATGGGGTGGCAAAGGCAAATTCTGCTCACAGAGCAGTTAATGTATTAGCATTTATGTTTACAGAGACAACACTTACATTCCAGTGAGATTATCACTTGACAAGCAGTTGATAATATAATAGTTATGTAAGCCATTTAAGTGAGTGGAAAAAGTGTCAGTTTGTTATATACAAGTTCTTTCAATGTTCATCTGGCATATGTTTTTACTTTATTACTATGATGGAAATTGCTTCGAAGGACATTGCTTTTGTGAGTCTTGCTAATGCTCTTAAGACGTCAGCGGACTTAAAAATATCAGTCTTTGTACATAATCGTTAAAGCTGTAAATCAGAGTGTAAAAAATGGAAAGAAGATGATGATGATTTAATTTCAGTTAGTTCATTTCAGTCATATTTCAGTTGCAGTTATTTTATTTTATGTTACTGATGATCTTTGGAGTTTTCAAGTTGCCCAAGGCAATATATAAGTCTTAGAACTGCCTTGAAATAGGAATACTGTAATAAAAATCAACAGATACAATATCAAGTTCCCTTCTAGAATTTCTAGAAGTCATATCATTGCTGCTTTGAAAGCATCTATAAGCTACTGAGCATTGAGTGAATAATGAGGTTACCTTGAAAGTCAAGTGTCGTGTCAAAAACAATCAGGAGATCTTCATATATAGACAGCTGAACTATTTAGTTTTGTTGTCCTTATTAGTAAACTCCATGCTGCGTCGCTCCGGCTCCCGGCTCCGTCCTCTCCTTGCTGGCCGCCGACGTCCTCAGGATGGAGATCGGTGAGCAGAGCGGCAGAGTTAAAAAGTAACCCTGCCGCTCCGTGTGCACAATGAGAGGGGAGAGCTGTGCTCTTCCCCTCTCAGCTGTCACAGGAGTTCCAGCACAGTGCTGTGCTAGAAACTAAAAAGTAAAAAAATAAATTAAAAAAGAAAGAAACAGTAAAAAAATTCAAACCAGCTCTTATTTAATGTTATTTTGTTGATTCACATTGGTATTTTGAGGCCATTAAAATGTAAAATTGCATGTAAATATCTGTACAAGCATTAGAAGATTTGCATATATGTGCCTTAAGAAATATTCTGCCCCTTACTGAGCACTTTGGAACATCCTCTACATCTTTTTTCTTAGTATATCTATAATTCCTAACATTCTGGTAAACAATAGAAGCAGGGAAAATCCTGCCCCTGATGTGTGTTATAATTCACTGACATTTAATGCCATGCATGGTTCTGTTCTGCAGCAGGTGCAAATTTAGATAACAGGTGTTGTATGGGGCTACGATAGAAACTGTGATCCTCATGCCTGCCATCTGCATGATAGTGCAACCTGAGACAAGCTTTTAACCTCAATTTACTGGTGCCACTTCCGTCTGTGATTGCCATTACTAGCTTTGTTTTAGCCAACCTATTTACTAGCTTTGTTTTACCCAACCAAATACAACATTTATTACAGTACTAATGGCCTCACATTCTATTTAAAAGATCACCAAGCTTAGTAGAATGTTCTACTGATCACATAGCTCAGTAGAATGTTCTACTGATCACATAGTTCAGTAGAATGTTCTACTGATCACATAGCTTAGTAGAATGGGCTTTGTAACAATGATTGTTGCTTAGTAAACCTTATTCATATACTGTTTAGAATTTAAATGACACCAAACTTGGTACTGTTTAAAAATACACTCACAAATACTGGATGAATTTGGGGTCTTGTACATTTGTCCACACTTAGATTTTACAGCAAACCTGTACATTGCCAATTAAAGGAAAAGCAACATGTTTGCTTTAATCTCACCATCCCAGTAGCAAGGGACCCAAAGGAAAACATTGGTACTTTCAGTTATGAAGGAACATGTAACTCATTCAATGTGACAGCTCTGGACAAATCAAAGCAAAGTAAGTATATGCATCTGTGGAGATCTGCATTTAAATTAACCTGTTTTGCCATGCATAGGCAATTAAATTGATTCAATTCAAAGTATGGTGGGCACTACTGGTTTAGGTGCTCTGCAAATATGCATGCTAAAAGTTCACCCAGTTTTATAAACAAAAGTGTACAAGCTCGCGTGGGTTTCCTCCGGTTTCCTCCCACACTACAAAGACATGCTGGAAGGTTAATTGGCTCTCCAAAAAAAAAAAAGTTCCTGTATGTATGCATGTGAGATAGGGATCTTAGCTTGTACGCTCCTTGAGGGCAGGGACTGATGTGAATACCTATAATAAATATATATATGTCCTATCCCCTACAGCCAAGGAAGGTAGCGTCTCTGCCTCCATTTGAATTGCAGTTACTATGGTGCTGCACATGTAATTAGCTATGACACCAGCCATTTGAAAGTTTGGTTGAGAGCTGAAATATGCACACTGGCAACCTTGACAGTTAGCATGTCAATTGTTTTGGGAGACAGTGAGCTGTGGGTAAAGTTCCTCTTTAAGGAAGTCTAAACATTTTTGCCATTAGAAACTGTAGAAAAGTTTTTTGTTGTTGACACCAATGTAACAAGCGCACTAACAACGGGTGCAAAATAACTGTAAGGTGATCTTATTAGAAGAAGAAAAATGTAAGCGGATGTTATAAAAAAAGGATTTTGTTATTGTAAACGCTCCCAGAACTTTTTAAAAGGTGTTTGATTATTGCTGTTGGAAGCACTAGTACAACCACTGAATTTGTAAAATGAAGCTGTACTGTTAAAATGTATCATTTTAGAAAGGTAATAGCATTCCAAACATTTTAAAAATCCTCTAAAAAAATAACAGAACAGTGAACAAATATGTGTTCGTCTTTTCTTTTTATTCCTGTATACTTGGCCTGTGTGTTTAGCATTCTCAGAGAAAATACTGTGTGTGTGGAATAAATTGATACAGCACAAACATCACCTATTGGCATTGCTGGGTAGAATGCAGACAGAATAGATGGAATGGTCTGGTTAAAAAATCTGGGTATATTTAGTGGGCCATGCTTTGTAAACGATAACTTGTCAATTGCATGGAAACTGTTGATCTGGGATAATTAAAATGTGTGTTTGTTTACAGGGACTAATACAAAGCATGGTCTGCGATGCAAAGCTTGTAAAATGAGCATTCATCACAAATGCACAGAAACCATTGCTTCTCAGCGCTGTATGGGAAAACTGGTGAGTAAATTCATGAACCTTGTTTGTACCTTCTAATAAATTGTAAAATACACTGCATTTTCATTGTCATCTTTGGAGACACGTAAAAGGGCTATACATTTTGATTGTGTTCATAAATGTAGTAAAGCTGAAACAAAAGAATCAGTGTATATGATTTAATGAAAAATAGTATTTAAACACAGCAGATGTTATTAGATGCAGTCAATGATTTCATAAAAGCCGCTGGCTTTATACCAGCAATCCTGTAATTGCTCTACAAATTAATCATGTTGAGGAACAATATGAACAAGAGTTTCTATGTTGCTAGTGTACTTAATTAAGGAATAGAGTATGTAAAAAAAGTGGCTGCAAGAGAAGAATCAGCCTAAGATTGAACAGAAGGATAGTGTGGATGGTTAACAAAGTACACTTCCAAATAGAAACAAGCTGAACTCCTAGGTCAATGTACGTCAGTGTCTTTGAGGCTTTGAACGACAGTGGGCTCAAAGAAAAAAGACCTGGGAGGACTCTACAGTTGAAAGAAAAGCATAAAAAAAGCAAGGCTGGAATTTGCTAAAGTGCATATTGACATGCCACACTGCTTCTAAGAGAATGTCATTTGGACAGATGAGATAAAACTGGAGCATTCTGGCTTGGCCTGTGTGTCACATTGGCTCTATGTTTATAGATAAAAAAATGAAGTTTTGAAACACTGTACCTACTATAAAACATAGAGGAGGCTCAGTTATGTTTTGGGGCTGCTTTGCTGCATCTAGCACAGGGTGACTTAAATCTGTTCCGAAGCACGATAAATTTTCAAGACTATTAGGGAGTTCAGAAGCAAAACATACTGCCTAGGGTCAGAAAGCTCTGCCTCAGGTCATGGGTCCTCCAGCAGGATAATTACCCAAAGCACATAGCTAGAAGGAATGGCTAAGAATAAAACATTGGACTATTCTAAAGTGGTCTTCTGTGAGTCCTGATCTGAATTCTCTTGAACACCTATGAAAAGAGCTGAAACATGCAGTCTGGAGAAGGCAACCTACGACCCTGAGACAGCTGAAGCAGTTGCTTAAGGAGAGTAGGCTAAACTACTTGTTGGCAGGTGCAGAAATAAATTGCTTATTTCCAGTTGCCGCTAAAGGTTGTGCAACCAAATATAAGATTAAAGGTCCCATCATTTTTGTCTATGCCATGGACAGTGAATTCTCTTGGGGGGAATTGCAATTTTGGTGTATTGTGGTTCCAAATGGCTGCATGCCACATGGAACTGGATGCGTGGTTGTGTGTGATTTCACTCAATCACCAGATGCCCTTATTAACATGTTTATAGAGTCCTTGGTTCCCTTCTTTCCTGGTTTACACTGTAAAATGAACATATACTTTGTAACATTATCATTATTTTTAATTGTATTTATAATTATTATTATTTGGTTGTTCGTACTTGAAAGTATTTGTCTGATTGGTAACTGATCTTTTTTTTAACTTGCTTTCTTCTTTTTCTGTCAATGGCATTACACAGCCAAAAGGTTTTCGACGCTACTATAGTTCTCCATTACTTATTCATGAACAGTTTGGATGCATCAAAGAAGTAATGCCTATTGGTAAGTATTCATACATACTAAATCATAAATGTTTGCTACTCTTTACTCTACTTAGTTATTTAAAATTATAAATACTAGCTAAATAATGTGTTCAGTAGTTTTTCGTCTTTCATTAGAAATGGCCTATTAAATCTCCAGAGCCAAACAATGGTATTCAGGATCTCCTTTACAGTATATTTTGTGAACCAATTGGTCATTTTTGCTATGAACTAAATATGTTTATGCAGCACACACTGCAAAGTACATCAGCAATTGAGCATAGCTGTACAGTCAGACCAATCTGAAGAGGTAGCTACAGTACATGCTGTTTTCCCTAGCAGCAGCCTTTTCCATGACCTTTACTTAAAGTGACACTAAACTCAGGAGTTAAATCTTAAAAATGCATTATCAAAATTAACTATTATCAAAAATGTATCCGGTATTTGTTTATCACTTGGCTGCAGATCCTCAAATCATATCTGAATTGGTGCTGACACTGTCATTCCTTCAGGAGGGTGGCTACTTTTGTTCCCCAAGTGTGCCCTTGTGTGTGTTGTAAAGTAGCCACCGATCCAAGCTCATTCCCATGATGGAGTATAATCAGGGCTGCTGCAAGGTTTTTTGCCTACACAGGCGAATGTGCATTCTCCCCCCCCCCCCCCCCC